AAAAAAAAAAATTACTATACCTTTTGTGCTATATCCAAATATTAGTTGACGAAGTTGATTAATTTTTCTAGGTGATGATTAAAAAGCAGGACCGGGGCATAAACAGCCCCCTCCCTCGGTTCACAGTTCAATCTACTGGAGCGGTTGAACCACCAGCCAAACTGAATATTAATAAATTTAAAACAGAATCCATATTTTCCAGGTTTGAGTGGTCAGAACGGCTTTGGGTGTAGTTCAGACTAGACCGATGACCTGTCGAACCAGCTGGTCCAGTCCAGATTTGAAATCAATGTTGCTAGGTAGGTAAAGACTAAAGTGACAAATTCTGCAATTTTGCTTGGGATCAACTGGCCGATTTTTATAAACACAGCACAATCAGTTAAGTGATCTCTCCTTTCCAGTGCACATTTGTTTCACTGTGTACATCTCATCTTTTCTTCCAAGACATCAACTTAATCTTGTGCATGAAAATCTACTGATAACTATATTGGAACAACCTTTTCAACTATCTTTCTCACATGCATGCCTCCATAACGCAAGTCGTTCTTCGAATCCATTTGTTTTAATTCTGACTTAGATATACCAATATACTAAAACTCAGACACACGTGAAAAAAACACTTTAAACAGTTTAAATTCTTCAAGCAAGCAAGCAAGCTAGAATGATTTTTTTTACGTGTGCATATGAAGCTGCCAAGCCCAGACAGATCAATCTTCAGCCCTACCCTGTGCAAGCACACAAAAAAAAGAAAGAGAGCACACTCCCTACGCAGGCATTATCCTGTTCAGGTTCAAAGGGACTTTCTCAGCCTGAAACTGCTCGAGTATTGGCCCAATGGGCCAGCACTCGAGCAGATTACAGACACCCCCGGTGCATTTTTTTGTCAATACACGAGTAGATAGGAGCATTGACTAATACAGAAACCATCCAAATAAAAGTAAGTTTTTGTTTAAATAACAACAATCAAATGAAAAGATCGTGTTTCACACATGAGGTGCTCAACAAACATGAAGGATGCTTATTTTAGTTACCTAGATAGTGCATCTCGACTTTGGCCAACTGTGGAACACCTCGAGATTGGTAGATGGTATAGTGGAGCTTGGGGCCTGCCATAAATGATATAAACACATAAGAGCAGGTTAGTTGAAAGGATGCGAAACACATGATGGGACCTCAAATAAAAAAGAAGAAATCCCTAGGTCAATCTTGCTTCAAATGCCATATCAAATGCTTCGTGTCCCAAGGATTTTTTTTATCCCTTTGGAGATAACTATAAAACTACCAGCAAGGTACTACCAAAACAAAAGGAGAAAAAGAGAAAATTAATTTCTGTAACATTTGTAGCTAATGTGTTCCAAGGAAAAATTACAAACTACCTCCAAGAAGCAGAAAAAAAAAGTCTCTCTCTGAGGTAAAAATCATCGTGGACGAATGTTTACGTGTTTACATTCTCATATAACCTTCACTTAACGTGACAAACTTCTACATGTAGATGTAAAAATAGCCTCTTCTTTTATCATGTACAATATTTTGTAAGACCCAGAGCAACGGAGGATGTCATCATGAAATGTGGACATGAAAACATAGTCACCATAACACGCCATGAAAGTGTTGAGAAAAAAAAAAGAAAAGGTAAGAATATTCGTTCAGAGAAAAATGTGCAGTTTCTGTAGATATGAAAACACTACTCAGACAGACTTCCCAGACAATTTATCGAACCGTACTAAATAAATTCATACTCATGCATGCACCTAGTAACTCTTGAATATAACATATCGATTTTTCACCGTGATTAATTTAGTTTAACAAATCCAACATTTCACACTCACCTTTCCTAACTCATCGTGGACTTGACGTACTCCTCGGGCAAGTAGATCTCCCCACCGACCTCCCCATGCTGCTCCCCGCTAACTGTCTTCTTTGCAGCCAAAAACTCAGCACTCATAGCCTCCATACCTCCCTTCAAAGCTTCCTCCACATCCACACCATAACCATGCTCCTCCGCATATCGCCGCACGTCCTCCGTGATCTTCATCGAGCAGAACTTGGGCCCGCACATGGAGCAGAAATGCGCCACCTTCGCCCCCTCAGCCGGCAGCGTCTCGTCGTGGAAGGCCATGGCAGTGGACGGGTCGAGGGAGAGAGCAAACTGGTCGGCCCAACGGAACTCAAATCGGGCCCGGCTGAGGGCATCGTCACGGGCCTGAGCAAGTGGATGGGCCTTGGCAAGGTCAGCAGCATGGGCTGCGATTCGGTAGGAGATGACACCAGCCTTGACGTCATCTCGGTTGGGGAGACCGAGATGCTCCTTAGGGGTCACATAGCAGAGGAGAGCCGTGCCGAGAGCGCCAATTGTGGCGGCCCCGATGGCTGAGGTTATGTGGTCGTAGCCAGGGGCGATGTCAGTCGTCAGTGGGCCAAGAGTGTAGAATGGAGCCTCTGAGCACCACTCAAGCTGCTTCTGCATGTTCTCCGGGATCTTGTGAAGGGGAATGTGCCCGGGGCCTTCGTTCATTACCTGCACATCCTTCTCCCAAGCCCTACGAGTCAACTCCCCCTGAGTCAACAGCTCCGCAAACTGAGCAGTATCATTCGCGTCGTAAATTGAGCCAGGCCTCAGCCCGTCCCCTATCGACAAAGATACGTCATACCGATTGCAGATATCCAGTATCTCATCCCAATGCTCGTACGCGAAATTCTCCTTGTGATAGGCCAGGCACCACTTAGCATGAATCGAGCCACCACGAGAAACGATCCCAGTCATCCTTTTTGCAGTCAACGGGATGTAACGGAGCAGTACACCAGCATGTATCGTGAAATAATCGACACCCTGCTCGGCCTGCTCAATTAGAGTATCCCTAAAGACCTCCCACGTAAGATTCTCGGCCACGCCGTGGACTTTCTCAAGAGCCTGGTAGATGGGGACGGTCCCGACTGGCACGGGGGAGTTGCGTAGGATCCATTCCCGAGTCTCGTGTATGTGGCGGCCAGTCGAGAGGTCCATTATGGTGTCCGCTCCCCACATGGTGGCCCATTGTAGCTTGTGGACCTCGTCCTCGATCGAGCTGGCAACGGCTGAGTTGCCAATGTTGGCATTGACTTTTACCAGGAAGTTGCGGCCGATGATCATGGGCTCGAGCTCCGGGTGGTTCTTGTTGGAGGGGATGATAGCACGGCCACGGGCGACCTCAGCCCGGACGAACTCCGGGTCGAGCTTCTCGCGGGCAGCGCAAAAGGCCATTTCCTCGGTTATCATGCCTCGCTTGGCGTAGAACATCTGGGTGTACCTTGGCCCGCACAATTTTTCTCTTTTTTCGATCCAGTCCTTGCGCAATTTGGGGAGCCCTGTTTGGGAAACCATAATTTTGTTATTCCTTGGAATGTAAGGAAGGATAATGAAAAATTCATTCTTGACTTAGTTTGGAAAATTCAAGCATTAAGGTTGCCTGATTGGGACCTGTGGAATATCATGGACTAATTCACACACAGAAGAAAGAACTGAGATTAAAAATTGTAAAAATGATGAGAAAACTTACCAATGTGTGGGCTGATGTTTTGTGGACCACTAGTGTCATAGGTGTCGAAATGCGGCTCGTCTCCTGACAGGTGGATGCGCCTAAACGGAACTCGCAGAACACGACCAGATTGCTCGTGCATCACTTCCCTGAAATCAACTTGCTTAAATTAGACAGCTCCCAATTCCAACAAAAGTTTTACAAAGGTTGCACATATCTATGGTTTTCACTTCAATCCAAAAGCAACCCCCAACATATACTACATTCCTGATATCCTAGAGCAATTATAACATACCAATAGAAATCAAGAATCTCAACGGACTGAAAATGAAAACAGAAAATGAACCCACGTGTATTGTTTGGAGCTCTTGGGGAAGCATTCCTCAAAGGACGGAAGAGGGAGAAAATTAGGAGCACTTGGATCCGCCGTGTGCTTGCGCTGCATAACCTTTTCTTGATCGGCAGTCGAGGGATCAAATGTTAGCGTGGCCTTCGGCCGCCGCAAGGAAGAAGCAGGAGAAATCATCTCCTTCTTCCTCATCATGCTAGCGACATGGCAGTTGATCATCTCAACCCCATGAAGGAAAGAAGTTGTGGGGAATTGATTTCTGTTGTTGCAGAAAGCTGACGCCAGGCTTGTTTGCATCGATGCCATTTTCCGAGATAAAGCTAACAACACAACATGAATTTCATAAGATCAAATTGCAAGCACCTCTAATTGCAGCAAGGATGAATAATTTTGATAATTTAATATGCAATCAGATCTTGTGAATAATTTCATAAAGATCAAATTGCAAGCACACACACTCGTAAGATCTCGAAATATAACATTAAATTTAGCAGGGAACTCACCGAGAGGATGAAAAATTGATTAGAACGTCTTGTAAAGTGTGCTGCAAACCAGTCCCCAACTGAAACGAGTGAGAGAGAGAGAGAGAGATGGACAAAAATAGAGGAGTGTGGACGGAAGAGATCTATTGGCTTTTGATTAGCATCAGATAAGGACATGCGTTTTTTAGTGGAGGGCGTTAGACTCGGTTCCCTTTCCGATCACCGAGCATGTAATTAGACTATCGACAATGCTTTAGGTCCATTCAAAAAAAAAATATGTAGGCCACGTGAGAAATAGACTAGTCTAAAAATATAATGTAAATAGAAGTGGACTGGGTCTTGCAATAAAAAGACCTAGTCTACGTTTGGCGTTAGACTCGGTTCCTTTTCAGATCACCCAGAATGTAATTAGAACATCGACAATGCTTTAGGTCCATTCAAAAAAAAAATATGTAGGCCACGTGGGAAATAGAGAAGTCTAAAAATATAATGTAAATACAAGTGGACTGGGTCTTGCAATAAAAAGACCCAGTCTACGTTTGTGTTTAATTTAGACGCTAAGTAGAAACCTAGTCTCTTTGCATTGAAATCAAGTTTGTTACTTTTATATATTTTTGTTCATATCATTCAAGACTTAAGTCTATTTACATATCACGTAAGCAAAATTAAACTCAAAGCAATATGGGTTACAAAATAAATATGAAGATAAATTCATCTTCTTGTAAATACGTGGAATTAAATTAAACCATTACAATAAAGTGAAATGATTGGCATATGGGGTGATGGACATGAGTTGATAGTGAAAGGATTGGGCAATGGGGGTAATGGGCATGAGTTGTAAGCAAGTATGCATGAGTTGTAAGCAAGTGGAACCAAATTATTGGACATATTTCTTTGACATGTATGAGTAGAGTTTGCCTATAAAAGACAAACCAAATAAAATAGAGGAAAAGATAGATTATAATTTATATTTGGTTCTTATGGGTTAATTGTTTATAACACGATATTAGTACGAGTCTTTACCTTCTACAGTTCGATTTGTAATACAACGATAATATGCTCTACAGTTGCATCTAATAGATGATCCATCGTATCAGAAATTTAGTTATTGCAACTCGTTATATTTTTTGACCAATTTTGTGTTGTGATTCATGTTGAAACTCTTGTGTTTTCCTATTTATATTATTGGTCATTTTGATTATTTTTCTACTCATCGTAGATTGCTCCTACCAAAAACCAACACACCCAAACTCAGTTAGTTATTTAACCAGCCATTTTAAATGCTTCAAATTAAATTATTAGAGGTGTCTGCTCGATTATATGCTCCAACCTCGCACTCTTAGCAAACAAGACAAGGATTGAGGTGCGTGATGTAGAAACCGAGTAAGTATCTGCAGTTCTGCACAAATTAAATAAAAGAAAGGAAAGCACATTTTTTGTAAAGAGAAGTGGTCATATGGCAAGCATATATTACAAACAAAATTATTTGCTATCTACAAGAGTAGGAGAATAAGATTAATTGAGGTGTGTGATGTAGAAACCGAGTAGTGGTGTGATATTCGAAAAATAAAAAGAGAGGGAAAGAGGAAAAGAAAATTTTGGTAGGAAATTAAATACACACAAAAGAACTGTTTTTGAAATATTTACTTGATCATTTCACTTTAGAATCATGACTAGTACAATACTCGTGTATTACACGGGTGCTTGTTAAAAAAATATTCTTAAATTTTAAAATTAATGAGAAAATTATATTAAATTTAGTTTATTTTTTTACAAAAAAAAAATATATTACTATATATTTTAGGATGATATGTGTTACTTATGACTTACATGTGTTATATTATATTAATTTCTATAACTTATATCATATAACTACTTGAAATATAAATATATTAGTTGATAAATAATTTTATTTTTCTAATTAATATTAAAAATAATTTTATTATTGTTATAAAGATAAATATAAAGTGTTTTTTTATACATACAATATGGATATTAAATCGAAGCTTATCAAAAGAAGATTAATTTGATATATTACATATGTAAACCTGATAAAAAATACAAAAGTTATTAACTTTTAAAATATATATACAATTCAATAATTATAATAAGGAATGATATTAAAATACAATTAATACATGTAACATGACCATAAATAATCAACATATTTATGGTAATCTGAACCTAATTATTTTTGGTTTGGAATTAATTAAAATTTACCCAAGCCTAATAACGAAGCATGTAATTTTGCCACATAGGATTCCGAAGCACCAGAAGCAGCCACGTAGGCTCAGCGCATTCTGTATTAATATATAAGGGGAAGGGGATTTGCCAACTTTTTTTATTTGTTTTTTAAAAAAGGCAAGAGTTATTGAAATATATCTATACTTATATTAAAGGTCATACCATTTACTAAAATTAGTATAAAGAAAAGTCAAAGCAATTAATGTTTTTCCATTTATATCATTTGAATATTATATTTTATATTTATTTATTTCAAATCTAATCATTACTTAATGCTTTTAAATGCAGTTGAAAAGACAACACATTTTTTGGTCTTCGATTTTTAAATCCGTGCATTTGGGAATCTTCCAAACTATTTTCATAAAAAAAATATAAATCTGATTTCTTAATTAGTTAGAGATTACGATGGCTTATTGAATGGGGTCAACATACAAATCTTCAGCAGAAAATAAAACACGTGATTGTGAATTATTATTCAGCGTGTAATTCAACAGAAAATAAAACACGTGATTGTGAATTATTTTAAATGCAGTTGAAAAGTCAACACATTTTTTGGTCTTTCATTTTTAAATCCGTGCATTTGGGAATCTTCCAAACTATTTTCATAAAAAAAAAATATAAATCAGATTTCTTTGTTAAAAAAAATCTCTAAAAAATATAAATCTGATTTCTTAATTAGTTGGAGATTATGATGGCTTATTGAATGGGGTCAATATACAAATCTTCAGCAGAAAATAAAACACGTGATTGTGAATTATTTTTCAGCGCGTAAAGAGATGATGATTATCATTGTGCGATATATTTATACAATCTTATCTGACTTGTTACTACAGATAATTATCTCATTTGATTTACTTGCCATTCTCTCTCCATATTATCTCTACATATAATTCAATAATTCAATAATATAATGTAATTACGAATACGAATTATAAATCTCCCAATCTCCCAATAGCAAATCAACGTGTTGCTCTCTCCTGCAAAAAACCAAAAACAGATCAATTTCATCGATAAAAATGAATCAAGGCTTTGGGTTGATTGACCAAGTCAATAGGTCTACAAGATCAATGCTGAAAGTTCGTATTGTACGAATGTTCTTCCAAGATTGGGGCAGTACATACAAATCATATCTTGAATTGGTTCTACATGACAAAATTGTAAGCCCCCAATAATTTTTACTAATTTTCGTACATCATTTATTTTATGTTATATTTGTTTTTCGAACTATCAAATATTTTTCCGTGTATATATGTATTTTTGTTATTTTTGTATATTTTTTAGTGTTATATTCAGATATTAAAACCAATTTTTTTTAATTGATATCGTTTTCTTTGGTATATGTTCAGGGAAATCGTATAACAGCATGGCTACGGGCGGTCAACTTGACTGCCTTTAAGGAAAGGAACTTTGAAGAGGGCATGGTGATTTGCATAAGAAATTATCAAGTCGAAAGCAATTTAGGGAAGTATCGTTCTACTTCTGGAGATTTTAAGATCCTTCTGCGTGGGAGCACTATGTTTTCGAAGTGCAAGGATGAATTTCCTATTTTTCGATTTCAATTCAAAAACTTTGCAACTTTGCAGCATGTCAATCAAATTGATGAGTCCAAGTTATTCGGTAAGATTATTTTACGATGTTTCTAATTTAATATCTTTTATTAAAACTAATTAAATTATAACATAACGACTTTTTTTTATTGTAGATGTTATCGGATTAGTCGTTGGCATTCAAAGTGTGCAAGAGAAACAGATAAAAACTGGCGATACCCAATTGGCTGCTTTCATTCTAATGGATCTTAAGTAAGTTTTTTATTTTTATATATAGATTTTTGGCTAGGATGAACGTTTTTTAATATTTTTTATTTGAATTTTAATGCAGTGAAAATTTTATCAACTGCACGGTTTGGGGTGAATATGTCGATCAACATTTGGCTTTCGAGAGCCATTACGAAGAAACTGGACAACCGTGGGTACTAATTATGCAACTTGTTCGTTCTAGAGAATACCTACGTAAGTATAGATTTCAATTTACTGTATTTCGATTATTATAACTACTATATTACTTTTGAAATTATATTAATCGAATTAGTTTAATTACTTAGTTTAAATGTTCAACACACATAATTCTATTGTTCATCGAATTAGTTTATTTTACGAATATTATAAAGTACCCACGGTTATTTTCGAATTATATCAATTATTTAATTAAAAATTTGGTCCAATCATATATTTATCATTCTTAATGTGTTGTTTAGTTATTTTCGAATTAAAGGGTTTAATTATATTAATTTAAATGTTAAACACAAATAATTTAATTTACCTTTTCAATCCATGAAGTATTTTTTTTGAACACATTCTATTTATTTTTTTCTATATTTTTGTATATATATATAATATATTTTTATCATATTTTCGTATAGATATATATATTACAATTTTTATCATATTTTCGAATTAAATGGTTTAATTATATATATATATATATTTGTTATTTTTGTATATATATATATTATATTTTTATCATTTTTTCGTACATATATAAATTATAATTTTTATCATATTTTCGAATTAAAGGGTTTAA